TTTTTTAAACAAAATTGTAAATTTTGAAGTGGTTTTAACGCTAATTGAGAATAGCCAGTTTTTACTACCGCATAACAAAGGAGTTCTCGCGAGTGCTTCACCAAAATAAAACTTTATGCCAATCGAGAGAGACAAATATTTGTGATGGTCACACAAACACACACACCCAGCTTATTTTTAACCGCGAAAATAAGTCTTGAGATAAACACTTCGGTGCCATTTGTAATAAAACTTTGTTTATCTCTCGAATTCAATTGCTTCGCAGTAGGTAGGTACTTGCGATTTTAATTTTGACTCGAAGGAATCGATTTTATATGTAAAACTTCAATTCGTTATACATTTTTTAACATTTAACAAGGATAGTCGGGTCGTTGCCTTGAGACACATAAAAATGAATTTTTCGTGATAATCTGGTCTATTTTGAGGGAAATTGATGTAGATTTGTATCTCTACCCGGTCGTTTATTTCGGTTCCAAGTAATTCTGTTGTGTAATTGTACAGGGTGAATAACATTTTTACGAGCATGTGTTCCGATGTTTCTGGAAATAAATCGACGCGGATTCAGTGTTTTAAACTTTTGAATTTCTACTTAGTGTAAATCTAATTGTTCGTAAGGTGTATCAATAATTCTTGTTACTCCGAGAAAAATTACTTTTAATTACGATCTGTTTTTAAATAGTACAGAGCAATAAAAACGTAGTAACAGTATTAACATTTCATGCATTCTTTCATATTTTGTAAAAATAAAAAAAAGGTCATATAAACATGCTTCGTTTCCCTGATACAGAGTGTTGGAATTAAAAAAATAGTATTTATTTAAGTTTTTTTACAATGTTTGACTTATGTTAATAAAATTTTAGGTAATGACGTAACTAATTATGGGTAAAAAGTTAATACACAAATATGGGAACCAGTGGCGGTGATATTGGGAAATTCCGTCAATAAGAACGCGAGAATTTCGACGCCACCGAGTTTACCAGACAAAAAGGTGTCTTCAAACTTTTGAGTTAAAAAGAAATTTATCCATGAAATGAAAAGCTCGCGTGTTTTCTGGCAAGATAAATTAACGAACAAATATGTGAATTAACAACAAAAATAAATATCTTTGTTTATTATATGTGAACGAAAAACAACCATTATCTCAATGAAATATTTTTCTTGAATCAACTTTGCAGTTGAATTCCAGATTGTTTTAACTCTTTGCAACCTTCTCCAGTTTTCTTTTTCATATTATATGACCAATCCTTTAACCTTTAACATATCCGCTATATCTTCTAATGGAGTCATTTCTGATAGTTCGTAATTTCGAATTTAATAAAACCCCATAAATTGTCTCCATATCGACGATTAACTGTTTTTTGTAGATTGTGGAATTGATTTTTCTATGTTTTTGCTAATTTATTCAGTCGAAATTTTTCCAAAACGACTCACATTATGTATATTTTATATTCACACTTTCAATAGTACTTAATAATTATTGTAGTGACAGGAAACATTTTAAACTTACGTGCGCCTACTAAGGATAGTTTAGTTTCGAGGAACAGGAGTTTTTATCGGTGATAAAAAGCTACGCACCTTTTTATGGCTGTCAAAGCGACAAAAACGTCATAGTTATATACACATTGTCATGTGGGTGTTAATTTATCTCTATGAAAAAATATTTTGGAATAAGTAGTCGTCAATTCTAGTTGTGGGCTACCCCTTTTACCGAAATAATTAAATTTTTCAAAATAAATTCGAAACAATTTATAAATCCGACAAATCAAGATGCCCGTTTCGAAAGATCTCTACCAGGAGCATAAAATATCAGAGAAAATTATGACAAGAAAAATTTAAAAAATTCGGAAAATTGGAAAAAATACCTTTTATTGCGATCCAGGATAAAAAAGTTATAGTTATTTTGCCTGACACAATATATGTAAATGTTATCATATGTTAAATAAAAGTAAAGTTTGGAGGAAAATACATATTTTGAATATGTTCAAGATGCTCAAGAGTATGATGCTCGAATCAGAAGGTTCAGGAGCATCAGATAAGTGCTCAGATGAAGCAGGGTCCGACAAAGACTATAAATATCTTCTTCTTCTTCTTTTAAGTGAATTTAATTTTTTTCTGAACCCACTTTTTTCGTTTACTTTTATGTCGAAATTTGGTCATAGCTCAAGATAAAATATACTCTGAATATTGTTTTTTTTTGGGTTATAGAGAACTGTTATTTTGTTTATTTTCATTGTTTGGTCATGAAATGTTATACTTATTTGCCTTTTGTTAATTTATGCTTAAGTTCGATTAATTTGAGATTTGAAGGTATCCAGAATATAAAAGTTTTGTTCTAATTCATTGAATTTTATCCCATGAAAATATATTTCTGGGTCTGCTCCGAGTTCCTTCCAATTTTTCATACTTTTCGCTTTGGAAACGAAATCTCGAATATTTTCGAATATTACCTTGACGCGGTTTGTGTTAAAAAGCGGCCCTTCGCGGAAAATAGCCAGTCCGACACTGTCCAAATCGCTACAAATTGACCGCATAGAAATGTTAAACAACTAAAAATAAACACCACGGGCCGGCGCCCAACCAAAAAGAACAAAACTATCGTCCGGCCCAGCGCCGCAAAGCGAAAACATTCCCCCCGAAACAATGCGTCTACTTATCGATAACTGATTCTGTCCGACCTCAACAGGTGGCGTGTCGATCCAGCTCTCCGAAGCCCGTCTGGCCAGCAAAGCGGGGGAAAACATGAGGTCCTCCTCATCGTCGTCGTCGCCCTGGTACCACAGCATTCCTCGATCGCGGACAGCGCGTGACAATCGCCGATCGCACCGGTTGAACTGCGCGACAACTCGCGTTACTGTGCCGAAGGTGTGTTAAAATTACCAGCTCGACGGCAGCGACGCTTTTAGACGCCATCCCCACCGCCCGCCTTTTATTTTACATTCGCGCGGCGGGCGAATATGCCAGAGAGGGTCTTGAATCACCGATACTAATTATGTAAAGGATGCCGGGTGGAATACCTGCGGTTTCTCATTGATCTGATGGGGAGATAAGGGAGAACAAATAACGTTTCGAAGAACGTGTCGACAAAAGGTTTCGATCTTCACTCGGTTATAAATTTTAACGATAATTCAACTTCATGACTCCCATCTGATTGTGAGACAATTGCTAAGTTATTAGCAACGTTACTAAGTTATTAACAATATGCTAACTCTTATCCAATTACAAATTTAAATGAGATAGATTCGAATCGAAATTGCTTCTTCAAAATCTTAAATGGAAAAATAACATGCGTTTTTAGCAATATTGCTAAGTTATTAGCAGTACCTACTGCCTGGTTACTAGCAATATTGCCTAGTTACCAACAATATTGTAACCTTCATTCAACTATAAACTTCTACCAAATTTTTTTATTTTTTTTACTTAAGTATTACTCAGTTATTAGCACATTGCTAATTTATTAACAATATCCCAATCTTCGGCTCTAATTATAAATTTAATTGAAAAATGATCTAAATCGTTCTTTTATGACTAAATGGATGCCAATTGATTGCTATTAGCAATACAAATTGTAATGTTATCAACGATACTACTAAATTATTATAAATACACAGTTACTAGCAATATCACTACGTTATTAGCAATATTCATAAGCTTTCGACAATGTTGCTATGTTACCAGCAATGTTACTAAGTTATTAGCAATATTTCTAAGTTATTGGCAATATCGCTGTATTACCAACAATACTGAAGTTATTAGCAATATTACTAAGTTACTGAGAATGCCGTTGAGTCATTAGCAATATTTTTAACTACTTTAAAATCATTGAAGTAACGAGTTAAATGATTCGTATCAATACAACTTTGTAGTCAGAAACATTGGGGTATAGCGAAATATAGAGGTAGAAAAAGCCATGCTAGAATCTACGACTTCTTTATGGAGCATATATATATTTTAAACAATATTGCTAAGTTATTAGCAATACTGCCTGGTTACTAGCAATATTGCCTAGTTACTAACGATACTGCATCCTTCATCCAACTATAAACTTTACGAAAAAATATCGTAATTTTTAGTTAACGAACTTATTAGCAACATTGCTAAATTATTAACCATAATAGAATCTTCGTCTCTAGTAATAAATTTCATTGAAAAATTATCTAAATCGTTCTTTTATTACTAACTGGAAGACAATTGACTGCTATTAGCAATATTGCAAAGTTATCAACGATACCACTAACTTATAAATATTATTTAGCTACTAGCAATATTACCAAGTTATTAGCAATATTTCTACGCATTTGACAATGTCGCATTGTTACCAGTAATGTTACTAAGTTATTAACAATATTTCTAAGTTATTGGCAATGTTGCTGCATTACCAACAATATTAAAGTTATTAGCAATATTGCTAAGTTACTGACAATGCCGTTGAGTCATTAGCAATATTTCTAAGACTATATAAAATCCTTGAAGTAATAAGTTAAAAGATTCGTATCGATACATGTACATATATATGTAGAAAAGAAACCATGCTAAAAATATTATGTACGACTTTTTATGTAGCATGTTTGTGAATACGTGCAAAATGTATGTATGACATATAATACATATTTCCACAAGCATCTGTTAGAGATATTTGGAAAGTATAAAACAGGTGTAATTTGTATTGATTATGGCATTAAGATCCTTTAGGCTAAGGTTCTTCCATTCGAGTAAGTTTATTTTAGAAAAAATTACAAGAAATTCCTTTCCCTTTACCATTGCAAAGTACTAAAGGACTAAGAGTTACTTCTTTCGTAGTTTACTGGTACCATTAGTGTAGAATAAGCAAAATAACAACCGCAAGCAAGTTAATTTTAAAAACATCAACCAAAAGTGGGGTTTACAATTACATGAAGGAACTTTAGTCTAAAGTGGCGTTCGACTATTTCCCTTAAATTCTCAAACGATCACACACACACACACACACAATCCACCACCTCGACCACCAGATTTGTACTCACCTGTTTAGCGCTGACCTTAACAGCGCTCGGGGGGTTGTTGTTGGACTGCCCGGGAATGAAAAGGCTCTCCGTCCGCTTGGGCTGGTTCGGGGAGGGAATGATGTCCTGGCCGAGGCCCCTCTTCCTCAGGATGATGTCCTCGAAGGGCGGTTGCTTGGTGGGCGACGGGTTGCCGCCCGACGGGGCGGCGGCTCTGGTCGCGTTGCCCGTCATCACCGACCCGTTCCTCGCGCTGCCTACGCCGTCGGCGACCGTAGGGACGGGGGTGGTGCCCCTCACGGCCGATGGCGCCCTCAGCGACCTGTCCGGCGTCTCGGATGGGCGGAGGGTCGCCGGCGTCCTGTCCACGGACGGCTGCCGCGAGTTCATCGCGTTGGTCAGTCGGGCGGTCGCTCTGGCGTACCGGCTGTCTCTCGAGTTGCTGAAAATCAGGAGATATGGTCAGTGTTAGTACAAAAAAAAGCGTTCCGAAAAAAAATAGTTTTTTGAAACCATCAGCAATATGGCAGTATGGAATTTGAAGCGTGAAGACACTTGGAGACATTTTTACAGCTCTGGAAAACTGACAGGTTACACAAGTTTTATTTCATCGAAGTTATGTAAACTTACACCCTAGCTCCAAAAGATTAGTCAATACAAGGCAACGTCAGCGGACTTGTTTACCTTTCCAGTCTTATTTATTAATTTTTCATGGAAGTATATAACTGCACGGAGGTGGAGTTGCAACTTTATTGTGGAAACTTCACCAGGTCATAGAACAAACAGTTTTAAGCAAAAGATTTAGGTCTACTTTTAACAAAACTTTGTGCGATTGGACTGTACTAAATTGTAGCAGGTAGCTAAAATTTAATCCCCGACAATCCGTCTTTGTCTATGCCGCTTCAATTTCTCGGTCCATTTCTCTTATAAGTAAACAATATAAAAACAGCATTTCAAAACATGAGGCTACTTTAAGCATCATAACCGGGTTAAGAGGGTTTTTAGTAATTCAAATAAAATTATTCAATATTATTATCAAAATATTTATTTAAATTTAATGAATAGACTTTTATTCCACACAAAAATATATGTATTTTGAAAATTCAAATTATGGTGAGTAAATGTAGTGTTGTATAAATGTACAATAAAGAAAATAAAAAAGTAGGTATATTAAAATTCATCCTCTGAATATTCTGATGAATTATCTTCGTCTCCTAGATTGATAACGATAGGTTCCACAGTAACGTCAATTAAATTATCGAGTTCCCACATTTTCTCCTCTTCTTTTTGTACATGATGTATACATCTTTGCCAGTTATCTGCAGTTACTCGTTCCAAGGAATTTTTTAACAAAATTTTCACGTCACTTAATTTAAACGTCGTATTATTTCGCGCTACATCTCCTTTTACCTGCGCCCAGACTAATTCGATTGGGTTAAGTTCACAGTGATAAGGTGGTAACCGTAGTACCGTTATTTGGCGATTTGTTGCCATTTCATCGATAACATATTTTTTCTGATCTTTATTAAGATTGACAAGTGTCAAAAGTTCCTTTTTCACCATATTTGTTTCAAAAGAAATGTTTTTTCCGGATAACCATTGAATTATATCGGCTTTCCTCCAAGCAGTCGTAGGCGTCCGCTCGGTCTGCCGTGAATGGTAACTGGCATTATCCATGACAATTACAGACCCCGGAGGAATAAGATCCAACATCTGTGTAAAATACTCTTCGAAAACATCTGCGTTCATGTCTTCGTGATAGTCACCTGTATTTTTAGATTCAAATAAAAGTAAACCGCCATCTACAAAACCACTGGCACTACCTATATGTGTCACTATTAATCTTCGCCCTTTACCTGAAGGTGCCTTGAACCCTGTTGAAAGTCCATCCAAAAATGCTTGTCGAAAACTTTTTACATTTTTATCTTGCCATACTTTTGTTACAGTATATCCCTCGTTGACCCAAGTTTCGTCTAGATAATAAATATTCCTCCCTTCGTCACGGAATTTTCTAATTGATCTTAAGTAGGATCTTCGCCAACAAATAATTTCATCTTTATCGATAAGAACTGACTTCCTGTTCTGCTTTTCCCAGCAAAAATTCAACTCTCGTAAGACGGCCCATAATTTGCTTCTACTGATTTTTGGCAAATCGTTGTCCTCTGAAAGTTCACTTAAAATTTTGTTTAGCGTTGGTATTTCTTTTTTAAAATAAAATGAGTGTGCTTTAGTCACTAAACACAAGTCGAATTTTACTCTACTGCACTAGCACGTCTTCGTATATTCAGCTCTAAGACTGGATTGATCTGTCACAATACACTGGCTGCTGCCCTATGATGTATCCAGTAAAATATACTAATGTACACCCAATAGAGTATAACTTCGAAATGTGTCAACCAGTAGTGGAGATACGAAGGGTCAATATCAGTAGGAGTCTTAGAATTTTGATGCACATGAATATTCTGCAAATTTGATCAGCGCTTTTTATTACCAACTGAACTGAATATGTATATACCCCAGTTTCAAATAAAAGATTTACTTAAAAAAAAAATTAAGTTAATTTTGATTAATAATTTTCAACTTCCAACAAGTTTATTAAAAAAAGATGTTAAAAAAAGACAAGACTGTTTCAGTTTAGATATTTGACATTCGGTCAGACTTTATTAAACTTCTGAGGAAACGGTATTAAATTCTATCGATATCCAAAGCTTCTATTAAGCATCGCTGCTAATAAATTATAATGCAACTAAAGACAAAATCGATATCGTGCCTTGATGTTCATTAATCGTTGCTGATATTCTCCCTGGAGCCTTCGTTTAGCCCGTCTGGAATGAGATTAATCATAGCCCTACAGAAAAGAGATTTATCTCGAGAGATGACCGGATTCTGAATTATTTTGCATGAAGTGATTTATTTGCGGACATTTTTTAACGCAAAAACGATACTTTGACCGAAAAATAAATTATCCAGGACATTGAAGTTACTTTGGGCTTGAGTTACAAACTATATTATTTCATACAGCCGCGAAGAAGCGGAAAAAACTTTGTTTTGCATTCATCAAGTTGTTGTGGACTAAAAAATATACTGGGCAACAATTACCAAAGCCATACGGTTTCTAACCCACAAGAAGAATATTCAAAAGGCTTATAATTTCAAAAACTACAGTTCTGCATTGTCTCATTGACCGTGACCAGGGTCAATGGGTTATAAATATAAAGTTCGATTAAAGTAATCTATGTTAATGAACGTGTAGTTGCGATTATTGGTATATAAGGAGCATTTTTATGGCCAAAATTTGTGTCTGATGTTATTGAGTTGAAGTTAATTGTTATAAAGCGTTCACAGTTTGTTTATAAGCAACTCAGTTTGTTTAGGAAAGTCATTATTAGTTAGTGTGCAGTTGGTTTTATCGTTATAAGCTCAAATTTACATCTTTGCTTATCATGTATAAAGGCTGTGCGGTTTGACTGCTTCCAGCTGAAATGTGTCAGTGCGTGTCATAAGCGTACACTTGGGAACAGATGATTCATTACTTTACATTCATTTGGAGTGGTTAGTGGCGACAAAATTCAGATAATTAAAGAAGTCTTTTTCATTTTCGTTTAGTGATGAAAAAATAACTAGTATCTGTCACACAATATTATTTATGAAACTTAAAATACAAAAAAAATAGTATTCATTTATTTTCGAGAACCAATTTTATCCAATTTTTTTTTAGCAAAATAAAAACCACTCACCTCCCTAGGCTCGGATCCACGCTGGGCGGCCGCGAGTACTGCTCCAGGTACTCCTTCGAGCTCTGCGACCCTATAGTCCCCAGATACGGCCGGTCGGCGGACACCCTCCTCCTGGGCCCCATTCCCAGATTATTATCCTCTGCCGCCCCCGCAAGAGACGGCCTCGGCTTGTTCATCCCCGTGGGGTACTCGTTGCCCGGGTTGTTCTCCACGGAGTTCGTCGGCGACTTCCAGCTGTATCCGGGATTATTGGGCAGCTTCTGCTGTTCCTGCTGGTAGTTCTTCTGCTGCAGCTTCATCTGCTCCTGCTGGTAGTTTTGCTGCTGGTAGTTCTGCTGCTGGTAGTTCTGCTGCTGGTAGTTCTGCTGTTGGTAGTTCTGCTGTTGGTAGTTCTGCTGTTGGTAGTTCTGCTGCTGGTAGTTCTTCTGCTGGAGCTTCGCCTGGTCCTGCTGATAGTTCTTCTGTTGTAGTTTCATCTGGTCTTGTTGGTAGTTCTGTTGATCGTTCTGCTGGTAGTTCTGCTGTTGTTGTAGTTTCGCTTGTTCCTGCTGATAGTTCTGCTGGTAGTTCTGTTGGTAGTTTTGTTGGTAGTTCTGTTGGTACGTCGAGTTGTTGTGTGGTAGTTGCTGGTAGGGTGTTTGATTGGGGATGTTCGGGCCTAGGGGTTTGTTGCCGATGTTGTTCGGTAAGGTGTGGTTTGGAATAGTGTTCTCTATCGAGTTCAGTCCCGGATTGAGGCTGGCGGGGTTCCCTTTCTTCTCTAGCCCCATCTGCATCAGGTCTTGGTTGTGCTTCTGCATCTCTAGGTACTTATCCCTTCGTTCCTTCAACCTCTCCAGTCCGGGTTGTCTGAAGTCTGGGGCGTATTGCTTGGCCACTGTATCTGCTATATCAGAGTCTTCTCTCGCGTGCGCAGCTGCTATATCTGCCTGTTCGGCTTTTCCCCTCGCTGTGGCCGTCCGGTTAATCGCGATGTCTGACTTCTGGAGGGCGATCTTCGACGCCCTCTGCGCCGCGTTTACGGCGGCGTCTATCCGTTCCCGGAACTTGGCGCTCCTCATCAGGAACAGTTTCTTCTTCTGGCTGGTGATCAGTACGTTGTTCTTGTACTTGCCTTCCTCTTTCTCGCCGTTGCTGAAGGTCGTCACGCCGTAGCCGTACTTCTTGTTCGCGTACCACTCTCCCTCGTACTTCAGGCCGTCGGACCGCTCGCTGATGCCGTATCCGGACCGTTTGTCGTTCTTCCATTCGCCCATGTAGGTCTCCGTCACGCTTGGGTCCATCGTCTCGTCCTGAAATTAGTCCGAGCGTTACCGCCTATAATGTAAAGCCTCACGACCGACGCGTCATCGCATAGTGACGTCACTACTAGTGGTTAATTATGTGAATTCCGTAAAAAGATTCGACAATGGTTAAAATATCAAAATTAAAGTTAGATCATGATTTTGTTTCAAACTGTTATACTGAGAAGAATTGTAGAACTATGCCTATCGACATTTTATCATTAAATTATTGTATAACATTTTTTTTTGTCTATAGTTTATCGACTTCAGAATGGAATATACGTCAAAGTTGTTTTAGGTTGACAAAAAGTCAAGTCAATTAAATAGTTTAAGATACTTAAATATTTCAAAAATGGCAAATACATTAAAATGATATTAGAAATACTTTAGTAGAATTATCTAGTTTTACTTACTAGTAAATTTTCTTTCTGTGTGAGATACAGAAAATTGTTATTAAGAAAAGTTCATCATAATGTTTAAAATTTAAGTAAGTTAGAAAGTTTAAGTTTATCATAAGTTTACCAGGGATTTTATTTCACTGATTTTTTAACACGCAAATATTTATCGTCCAGTTTCATCGCTCTATCGCCCTGTCACTACTAACGTGACGTCACCAACGAGGCGTTGAGGCTTTGCGAAAGTGGTTCAATAGATTATATTACAAAGTGAGATTCTTACTTACCTCTATGACGAAACTGGCGTTCGATTCGGACGGTTGGGAAGCATTCGTCACTGCTGACTGCGCCGAATCGGTACTGACCCAGGAGGCTGAGGAACCTGTCGATCTTATGCTACCGGATCCGCCTCTTTTCTCTAAGTCGCCGGTGCTTCGTTGTTTCTTAAGTTTTATCTGAAAAGAAGTCAGTGAATTGTAAAGAGATTCTAAAACCATTTTCAACCTTTGAAAACGTCAAGAAACTTGAAATAATAACACAGCCCACAAAAAAAAAGTGCCAGGTCCGAAAGACAAGACCATGGTATCCATATGGTTTTGGGGTCGCTGAATCCGAATCGGTTGTCGGTTTGACACGATTAGCTCTGGTTTAAGGTCAGTTCAATGTCAAATATAGAAAATCAAGTGTCAATAAACTAAACCTAAATCTACACGTTTTTGGGATTGCTTAATCCGAATCCAAAGTCGGTTTGACGCGATTACCTCTGGTTTAAGGTCAGTTCAAGGTCAAATGTAGAAAATCAATTGTCAACAAACTAAACCTATGTATCTATACGTTTTTGTGGTCGCCGATTCCGAATCCGGTGTCCGTTTGACGTGATTAGCTCTGGTTTAAGGTCAGTTCAAGGTCAAAATTTGGAAAATCAATTGTCAACAAACTAAACCTACGTATCTATACGTTTTTGGAGTCGCCGAATCCGAATCCGGTGTTCGTTTGACTCGATCAGATCTGGTTTAAGTTCAGTTCAAGGTCCAATGTAAAGCCATTTATGTTGTTCGTATTTGATCCTATGTAAGACTATCCTCAAAATATGGCACTCTTATTTCAATGTGCGTTAGGTTTATAACATCCATGTTTGAAGTGATTTATCTAACAATATCGGTAGTATTGTAGTAACCTAAGGAAAATTCCTCTTCGTTAAATATTCCTTATTTCTGTACTGATAGTAAAAAGCTTTCACTTTTCCGGCTTGCTTAGTATTTTTTTAGCCATGATATTAGGAACTCTGCTCCATTCTCTGCCAGGCCCAAATCTCGAACATCATTTACTTTTTTTATGATATTGTTCCTATCTTTTTCACAACGTGATATGGAATATATTCGTCATCATTAGTATCACTGGCAATATCAGTGATAGTTTCATTGCCACCCAAATTTCTCCCTTCTTTAATATCTTGGTGAAACCTTTCTCTCTGCTCAAACCCAATCAAATTTTTCACTTAGGTTTAAAACCAAATTATTTATATAAGTATATTTCCTATGTTGATTGATCTATTTCTATTAGAAAGTATTTAATAGACCTGAACGCTTCAAACGGACATCAGATTCGGATTCAACGACCCCCAAAACGTATAGATATGCAAGTTTACTTTGTTTTCAATTGATTCTCCATATTTAAACTTGAACTGACTTCAACCCAGATCTGACTGAGTCAAACGGACATCAGATTCGGATTCGGCGACTACAAAAACGTGTAGATACCAATGGGTTTAGTTTGTTGACAATTGATTTTCAACATTTAACCTTGAACTAACCTTAAACCAGAGCTAATCGCGTCAAACTGACAGCGGGTTCGGATTTGGCGACCCCAAAAACGTATAGATACATACTTAGGTTTAGTTTGTTGACAATTGATTTTCTACATTTAACCTTGAACTGACCTTAAACCAGAGCTAATCGTGTCAAACGGACACCGGATTCGGATTCAGCGACCCCAAAACCATATGGATACATGGTCTTGTCTTTCGGACCTGCCACTTTTTTTTGTGGGGCTGTGTAATTATTGTCAGGACGAAGTAAATTTTCAGGCAAAGAAGGAACTACCTAAGGTACCTGAGCCAAATAAGATCCACATTTTGAAGTTTTATGTATTACTCCTAACTATTCAGGATTAACTTGTATCAAAAAAAAGTTGTAGGTTATCAAGAAACCAATACGCTGCACATATATGCCATGATTTGGGCTATCTTTCTCTTAAGTGACGTCACCATAACGTGCGTGTGGGAACACCATAACCACAAACGACATTGTAAACAAACTGCTATAGTTGAAATTGCCAACAGTACAAATGTACAAAGGATTCAACGATTTATACAATGGAAATTATGCAGAAACCGTCAGTAAACAAATAGATAACATCCAGTTTATTAAACCCATGAAATGAATAATGATTAAAAACAACATGGACCTTATTTGACTGGGGTACCTTAATAAGAGTATTCTAACTTACAGTGAAGAGCCCCTTCTTGATGTTTCCCGACCCCAGGGACCGCCTCCTCACCGTCGGCTCCGCAGAGTTCATCTTCAGCACGAAGCCGCCCCTGGAGTCGTCCACCCGGCGGTCCCGCTTGTCGCTGGGCTCCGGGTTGGGCCCCGACTGGCCCTCGTTGCTGCGTAGCGACGTCAGCGACGCCCGCAACGCCTTGTTCGCCCTGTACTTCGAGGCCTTCCCGAAGGGGGCGCTCTTCCGGATGCCGTAGCCGTGCCGCATGCCCCTCATCCATTGTCCCTGGTACGTGCCTGCAAGAAACACAACTGTCAGTCAAGTCTAGAAGATTGTTCGGCTGTCTATACAGGGTGTTTCATTTCCGGTGTGCCAAACGATTGTAGATGATAGAGAAAGTAATTTTGAGCAAAAAAGTTCATATCTACATGTGTCCGGAACCCCCTCCCCCCTGTGGCGCTACGCCCCTTTAAAGGGGGCCATTAAGATACAATTTTATTACAATATCTCGAAATTGCTTTGAAATAAACTGATACAATTTTATACGTAACTTTGTTATTTGTCAAATTCGTAATTTTTTTTTCGAAAATCGAAGTTCTTGACCATTTCTACATAAAAAAGATATACTTGTTTCATTACGATATCTGCAACAGTTTTCCAGAAAAAGCCGAAAACCTTTTTTTAAAAAGATATAGGATGTTAAACTTCAAAAAATGTTTATAATTTTTTAAAATAATTTAAAAATTAGTAAGTGAAATAATTTGAAACTGGACATATGTATTTATGTAAACATTGTCCAAATTCTAAGGGCTTTTCATAAAATGTACATGATCCAGTGGCGGAGATACAGGGTATCGGTGGCATATTTTTCTAAATAAAATAGAACGCCACTGCTTTACGGTAACAACCATGATATTTTCGGATTCGTCTTTCAATTTTCTACGAATTACTACTCTCTTACGTTTTTCGAAAAAAGTCTGCTTTTTAAAATTACGTAGTGGGCTGCGATAGCAATTTTGACATTCCGAGCAGTTAGAAGTAAGAATAAGTAATGCATTTCATCAGATTCAAACAACAATAAATTTCGAACAAACTACATTTTCGTTATTAAAAAGATGTCGGACCCATGTTCGTGGGAATGGAGGTATTTTTGAGCATTTACTCAAATAAAATCATTAAAATGATGACTAATGTTATCAATTTCTTTATTCGGATATTTAACCGAATGATTAGTGCTTTTCATATAATGTAAGCAAAAGTGTTTCCAGTTGGTTTTTAAGTTTTACTCGAAAATCAAGCTTTTTTCGAAAAACATAAGAGTGTAGTAATTTGTAGAAAATTGAAAGACGAATCCGAAAATATTATGGTGGCGTACTATTTTATTTAGAAAAATATGTCACCGATACCCTGGATCTCCGCCACTGGAGCATGCAAATTTTAGAAAAAGTCCTTAGATTTAGGACAATGTTTACATAAATACATGTGCCCAGTTTCAAATTATTTGACTTACTAGTTTCTAAATTATTTAAAAAAAAAATAAAAATATTTTTTTGAATTTTAACTCCCTGTAACTTTTTAACGAAACGTCCTAGATAAAAACTTTATAGCAAAGACTCACATTAAAACTGCCCAAAGAATACGAGGTTTCATTTTTGGTTACCATTTGTGAATCACCCTGTATACAAGTCGCCCTGTCTGTGTCATCATCTTCGACATAAATCGATAGATTACAAATTTATGTGAACCAACCGGTTATTTTGCGACTTGTTGCGACCTTTTATATAATCACATTGTGTAAGGGCAGCATTTTCCGTGGCGTCGGGACGTCGCGACCCAATTATCCATCCCAAAGCCCCGACCGCATTTTCACGCGAACCGCGCAGCTCTTATTAACGTTAATTGATCCTAACACAGATCTGGATTAATATTCGGAGCGCCAGAAAAGAAAACGAAATCCGTAAACGTATTACGTAGTGTTGCATAAATACTTTTTAAAAGCCGAACGTTTACGCGAGTTAAATATATTTCCATTAAACCGCTGCAAATTGGGTGAGTGCGAAAATTCCTTCGCGTTTGATTTATATACCGAATTCCGAGGGAAATATTATGGCAATGAGTGTACACCGCACGTACAGATGCTAGTACCGGATTCTGTAAACTAGTGGCGGATTATTGTAAACTCGCAGTCAATTATCTAATCAAAATAAACGGGAATATGAATAATGGTCGGTTTAATAACGCACCAATAACCTGATGAACAAGGATCGGGCACCTGGATATTTATTTTCTATGCAACTGTTTGGGACAGAAAAATGTGTGCGGGATGCCTCCAATTCCAAGTCGTTCAAAAGCTCAGGAAAGTCAAGCAACGCTGATCGTGGTTAGTACTTGGATGGGTGATCATCCGGAATAGGCTCGAGATGCTCGTTCACCTTCTAGTGGCCTGTATGCGGTGTGTTCACAAAAACTATACAAATTTAGGCGAGGATTGTACAGGAAGATAGACATACCATCCCTCGGAAATAATGTTAAACTGTCGGTCCCTTGTTTAAACAATGTAAGGCAAGTAAAAGATCTCAACTCAACAACAAAGTGGGGGTTGCTCGTCTCCTGGCGTCGATGTTTAGCCATAATATAATCCGTACGATATTTGTTGAGATTCTGTTATCGAAACTATTGCAACAATTTACCGCATGCCTTGAAATTTTCCACCTCGGGTGTCGAATGCGGTTAATTCCAAGAAAGTGATGCAGGGGTCTTCTAGAAATTCTATCTCAACAAATATCCTACGGTCTATAGCCGAAATAAACTGACGTAAAATAACCAGAAAAGCTAAAGCTAAAGAAAAATATTTTCCCACATCTATGATATCATGATCTGTTTATCTGATTTGAAACTGACGAACAAATATTCATAAAAAAATTAATATAAGCTTATTAATATGAAGAAAATCCTCAAAAAAAAATTATGACTAGTTTGGATACCCAAGAGAGGAGATATTAATAAAATAATGTTTCACAATTTAGTACAGTTTTAGGAGAATGCAGATTTGTTTGGTCTTTCCACTTAGAATGCGCAACAATTGACGAACAGTTTCCACAGCAACTTGTATAAATAGAAAACCGATATCTAAGGAACCGTATGACAGCTTGTAGAAATCGATTAGGTACTTGTAAGATACATAATTTATAATAATTCTCCTTCAAACTGCTGTCGGTGACGAACTTATCCTCCATATGCGTGATAGCGGCAACGCCGCGGTCTCGACGAAGCGTATTATTTGAAATTCGCAGCGAGCGAACGCCAAGCCGAGCCGTTACCACTGGTAACGGCCGAGCGCACCAGCCAAGTGCAACGTTGCCAAATCTAAAGGCTTACTTCTTTAGTCACTAGAAAATGTACAGAAACTCTCGTTAGACTTTTAGACGTACCTCCGTACCCGAAAAATCTCCTTAAAGTTTCTAGTTTCGGGATCTGAAACTCAAAATTTTTAATTATTGACCAGTTTCAAGCAACCAGAAGATATCCAATGAAAAAAAAAAAAATGTTTCAAAATTTTTGCTCCATTTTCAAAAGGTCCACGGACTTCAGTATTTTTTTTGTGTTCATGTTCGTTACAATAAATATATTTATGATATTTTTTAAGTCATATGTAGTAAGATTTAGTATAAGTTTCGATATAAAATCTAAGAACACTTTGCCATTCCAAAATCTTGTTAATATGATATAATTCATTACATAATTGAAAATACAGTTTTCATACTGGCAGCCTATTTCGTATTATTAAGATATACACGTATTATTTTTATAATGCGAAATCAAATTGTTTGAATTCTTCTCGAATTATTTATCGATTTGTTTTTGTTTTTAATTATTAATTAATAGATGAGAGAAAGAAAAAAAGTAGGCTTTCACAGAGAAATAAATTATCAAACATAAAAAGTTTTGACTTGTCAAGTAATAAACGCGAAGGAATAACCGCAACAGCGCAATAGAGTATGAATGAGGATAGGTGACTGGAAATTTAAATAAACGTTTCGATACACAAGTTAGTCATTATAAATGGATTACATTCAACTTGTGTTTATTTGTGTAATTCCAGTTTGGAATAATAAAATAAAATGGGAAATTTTCAAATGTAGTAGGTATGTTTTTTGAAATCTTGTTTTATTTATAAAGTACGATAAACCTTCAATACAAGAAGTAAAACATATAGAAGCATATAAACAATGAAATATTTATACTTTGCATCACGGCTCATATAACAACCTTTAATTTTTATTAATTAATAAATTATGACATTTTTAATACCATTTTTTATTTTAAAATTAACATTTCAATAATTTCAGTATATTTTTTAGAATAATTTTGGCTGGAGTAACATCGTATCATAGTATAATACTACATATATCAAATTATTATACTTTCATAAATACAATCGCTGTAAACCCTTAAGGAACATTTGTATTCACAGACGTGAATCATAGTAATATGTGGTAATATGCTAATTATGCAATTATTCATGTAACTAAATCATATTTGAGCTTTTCAACGCGAATCACTTCGTGATCACAGTTTGTAGATAATCTAAAGTACGTAAAAGTTCTTTGCAAAAAGAGTAGTGCAAAAGAGTCGTTTGTGCCATGTACTCTACGTCGATTAGTTGATGCCTTCGGACGGTGGGTGTGCGGAGGTTCTGGCTCCACAATCTTCTCTTCAACAGCTTTTTTCCTGCTTTCGTGGCATCTCAATCTACTTACTATCCAGTCATAAAGAATAATTTTATTTGCATTGACAGCAATGGCCATTGGTAAGTATAGGACCCCCTTATTCTGATCGTTAGTTATGTGCTGTGCTTTTAGTCCGGTCAAAATAGATATTTCAAATAACGAAAATTCCGACAGAGGTAAATTATCTACAAATATGGTCCTTATACTTTTCTTTCTAAGAATCACCATTCCTGAGATATCGCGATTCTAAAAGTTGAAGGAGTCACGTTCTACATGATATGCACACATTTCCACACCACCTGTGAGATAGTGTACTCTGGTGCGGTTTTTTTAACGTGGTTTCCCCGGTAGGCCCACTCCACGAACTGTTATGACGGAATTTTCAGGGACAATACTCTTTTAACTGCATGATGATTATTGATATTGATATTGGTTATTGACTT